AATACAGAACTTTTGTGCAGTCAGCGCTCTTATTTTTCCACTCCATAGACAACACACGTCATCTAGGTGGGCGCATTTAAATTTAATTGCGCCATACCGTGGGCGCAATTATCGAACGTGTTCGGCTATTGCGCCCTTTGCAACCTTTTGGTAAATTCATCATATGAAACGGCAAAATGCAAGTAGGGGAGAGTGGGGTAAGATGCCCAGGGTGGGAAAGACGCCCCACCCCCTCTAGCGGGGAAACAAAGAATCGAACCTGGAAATTAATGCTCTTAGCGTAAAGCGGAAGCCTGCCTTGTTAACTGCACAAAAATTTGCGAAGCTCAGTTGGGCAACGGCTGGCTGGTGATTGCATGTTTTTTATTTGCTGCTTTCAAAAAAAAAAATATTTTGGCGTCAAAACATTGCATATATCAAAGAAGGTCGCTAATTTTTGCGTCCCTTGCTATAGTCGTGATACATTAACATGCATGTACTGTGTCCCAAACAGTTTGTTTCAGGGTGTAGTTTTATGGCTAACAAATGGTGCTGATTTAATGTTACTTCGGTACCTTGGGGTAAGATGCCCCCTGTCCTGATGGGGAAAGACGCCCCCTAAATCCGTAGGCTGTCCTCCAAGCAGCCCGTCAAATCATTTATTACATACTTGTGATGAGAGATAAAAGCCGATCTGGGAGTATTGAGAGTCCAATATGGTCATGTGCTCCCCATGCCGGTCTTTCGGCCCGCACAGCGACTTTTTGGGCGGCATCTGACTCTGAGAGCCCTCACGACGGCCTCTGTGGGCCCCATTATTGGTTCCAGGGCCCCTCACGACAGGGGTGTCGTTTTCTGAAAATGATTGGTAGGGCCCAAAAACCGGCGGACGGCCATTTATGACGTGCCTACACAGGTGAGGTAACCCCAAATTTGCCTTTCTCGTCGGATTTCGGCCACTTATTTTTCCGCTTTGGTACCTAATTAAATTTGATAATCAAACCAAAAACATATAAACTTCTGTGAAGTCTGAGTACTTCTAAACCCGAGGCACAAAACGTGCATTTATGGAGGCCTTACCTTAGTGTCAGAGGACAAGTTCGTTTTTATCCGCGAAGCTCTAGCTCGATCAGGGACCGAACGGTTCATAATTGCTCTTTTCAGCAAGTGATATAAGACAAAAGATTGGTAGGGCTCACGGAACATTGGTAGGGCCCTTATAAACATTGGTAGGGCTCGGGCCCTACCAGGCCTATACAAAACGACGCCCCTGCCTCACGACATCCTTTGAGGGCTCCCACGTTGGCTCCACGGGCCGCGCTGGCATCTGAGGTCCCCACGATGGACTCGAGGGCCCTCAAGCATCATAAAGACCTATAAGGGCCCACAGTGGTCTCCGAACGCCACCACGGAGGCTTGTTTGGCCACGCTGGACTATGATGGCCCTAACGATGACCTCTGAAGCCCCTTACGACTACTTTTGAGGGCCCTTACGATGACGTTTGGTGTCTACTGCAGGATCGAAGGGACTACTGATTCGTTCAGGCGGTTTACGTGCCTATTTATGTCACTTATAGTGCAGGGGGCATCTAACCCAACGCCAGGGGGCGTCTTTCCCACCCTGTGGGGTAAGATGCCCCCTTTCACTTCTTCAGGAAAATGCTTAATAGCAAAAAAAGTTATCATATTTCAGGCACGAAAGAGTGATATTTTTGGAGAAAAATGATGTCGGCTTCCGTTGAAACTCCAAGTTTTGGCTTTCCGATCGTCATTTTCGAATAATATATGACATAGTCAAACCCTGGGCATCTTTCCCCACTCTCCCCTAAGTTGTTCTTGATTGTTTTAAAATATAGCAAAATGACCGGTTCAAAGTTTCTGAGGGGAGGCAAACCGGTATCCCTTGTAATTTCGGAGCAATAGCTCGTTTTTGGCGCAATATGGGCACCTTCCCCTACGTTTTAGATGATTTGAGTAATATCTCGCCTATATTTCCTTAGTATTTTGATTTGATAATGATGTTAATATATATATGTTACGGGTCATATGCTAACTTGGGCAGTATGCAAACTACCCGGGCAGTATGCATACTACCCAACAGCCCGGGCAGTATGCATACCACCCGGGTAGTATGCATACTACCCGACCCCTTGGGCAGTATGCATACCGCCCAAAAGCTTGGGCAGTTTGCATACTGCCCGCTTTCCGAGTGTAATCCATGTCCACATTAAGAATATAAATGGCTCTCTAGGCAATAGATCAACCGAGAATAATTTTTGCCGTCAAACGTGATTGCTCGATCGTAGGATGGAATGAGGATTGGAATAAAGTGTTGAAATTACTTTTTCCCAAATCCATTGTTGAATAACCACAAGCCAACAAGTCATTGTCATTATGAAGCGTGAACTGAGTGAAATGAAACGACGACATAGTGTCAGCTCATTTGGTTGCTTAGGTTTGGCACCTTGACCGTAGAGGGCGTTATTACCAGGGGCAGGGCTGCGGAGTCGATGGATTTTCGGGTGACTCCCTCCGACTCACGACTCCAGCTTCAAAAATCGACTCCGACTCCGACTCCGACTCCAGCTCCGACTCCCGATGTTTCTCTAAAAATTCATGTCTTGATAAATGAAGTTCCAAGTGGATATGTTTTTATTTTGCCTGACACGATCTTTTTGAGTCCTAAGGCCTTGCATTGCAAATACACGCAGGCATCGGTAGGATTGTGATTGCAGGATTGCAAAATCCTGATTGCATTCCTTTTTGGTGGATTGCACCTGGATCTGAAATCCATTCCAAAAAACAGGATTTGATTGCGGATTGGATTGCATCATACTTCCGATTTTTGCAATCCAATCCGGATTGTGTTTGATTAGTGCTTTGAAATGGTTTGTTGCGCTTGAAAATTATGAGATCGGCTTCATCGGCTTAATTCACTTTGCTATCAAGGGCTTTACATCGAAACTTGAAATAATTTAAACGTTTTTAATTTAAACGCTCAAAATAATATACGCTGATGAACTACATAGGAAGGGCAAAATTACGTATTTGAGGGCGAGTTTAAAAAATATAAAACACTGGTTGGGTAGAGGTTTAAATGTGGGGGTGTTTGAGGCAAAAAAATATTTCCCATAAAATACCTGTGCCTTAGATAGGAATTACTCGCAAGACTAGGTACTAGAAATGGGTGATTTGGGGATGGAGGCACGGCCCTATACCCCCCTCCCTCCCCCAGATCCACTAGTGCACATAATAGTACAACAGGATTGCAAAAAAAGGATTGCGGATTTGATCACAATCCAAGTGAAAAAAGGGATTGCGGGTAGGAATGCAATCCACTTCGGCACTAGGAATGTGGATTGGGAATGCAATCCTTTCAAAAAGGATTTTACCGATGCCTGAATACACGTTATAAATAACATGCAGAATTAATTAAAAGTACCTATGCTTTGGCGATCTTCTGTATCGCTCGCCGAAAACGCTTGTCCAAAACAAGAATTTTGCCTTTTTTGAACAAAGTCTGATTTTTAAAGGTCAACAAGCGTAGTGTCGTCAAGCAAACAGGTGCAGGGCATGACGTTGAGCCATGCAGCGTTAACTCCGATTGGGGAGTCGGAGTCGGTAAGATTTTGGCAACTCCATTTCCGACTCCGACTCCGGGTTAAACTGTCGACTCCGACCGACTCCGACTCCGACTCCGACTCCGACTCCGACTCCGCAGCCCTGGTTATTACGATTTCAATATCTAGTGCTGCATGAAATCATTTACATGTATGTAAGACGTTGCAAGTTCTGAGGAAAACTCACCAAAGTAAATTTTGAAAAGTCACCTCACTTCCGGAACACAATTGCACTCGCAGTTCCTTGGCCAATTCAGCAAACGAAGGCATCTGAGGCGCCCATTGTCATTAAATTGTTCCCGATTGGATAACATTCCGGATGGCGACCCTCTCTCACTGAGAGAGGTGGCGCGTATGGCATCGGGGGGGGGGGGGGGGGGAGGGGGCAGAGGCCAAGGCGCATTTTGTCGAAAATCAGCGATAGGATGTAAGTTGCCTAGTACATATGTTGCTATTGGATGTCACTGATAATACCAGGTCAGGTCACAGGTTAGGTCACCAAGGGTCAGCACATGAACCCAACTCTACTAGGGTTGTGCGATGTATGTTTTATGAACAATTTTTTCCCTTTCCAACTCAATGGTGCTGGTTATAAGGCCATTATGTACGGTTTAGGTGGAACCTGAAAGGTTAAAACATTTGTCATTCACATATATACGCGAGTTATTGCATTAGCAAGCCTCACGAAGTGTGGTCAACATACTGCCCGAGTAAACATCTTGCCCGTGAGAAGAACTGTGGGTAGTATGCATACTACCCGGGAGGTATGCATACTGCCCGGGCGGTATGCATACTGCCCAAGGGGTCGGGTAGTATGCATACTACCCGGGCGGTATGCATACTGCCCGGGCTGTTGGGTAGTATGCATACTGCCCGAGTAGTTTGCATACTGCCCAAGTTAGCATATGACCCGTAACATATATATATATATTGAGCCGGGTTACACAGCACATTGAGTGGATGCGTTTCGTCTAAATGACTTTTTCGACACCCTGTCGGAAATTAAAACAATACAAACTATAGGTACTGTTTATATTGTTTTAATTTCCGAGAGGGTGTCGAAATTTAGTCATTTAGACGAGACGCGTCCATCCAATGTTCTGTGTAACCCGTCTCAATATATATTTGTCTATTACTACTCAACATGGTAATATATATCTGATTATTAAATTATATGACAAAGCCTACACTTTGTTACCTGGCCTGGACAATAAAACAGCGCAGAGCACTGACATACAATACTATGAATTGAAGACGGATTCGCTCTAATCGTGACCACTGACCATCATCATTCATTCAACCCTTTAACATACAATTGTGCCTTCTATTAGTCGTTAACCCTCATGTCATTTGTCATTTACCATCATATAGCTGTACCTATTACTGTTCAAAACATACAACGACCAGTAGAAAAATGTATATTTGCTTCGTTTCGATCGCAGCGTCAGACGTCAGCCGTTCTCGTTCGTCGTTTTGCATAGTCGCACTCAACTCGCCGTAATCCAGAAATATCAGTCTCCCTCTCAGTATCGACCCGATTCATTCAGCAGTGCGCTCTCTGCCAATTGACCAGCAGTGCCGTGTCCACGTTGTACGTTCCCATGAAGTAGTCGGCCATGACGATGTTGCTCTTGTCCCACCAGTCGTAGCGGACCATCCTGGAGACATTCCTGTTGACCAGGTCAGCCATCTGCCGGAGCGACTCGAGCCGGTCGAAGACGATGTCGCTAGTGTGCTCAGTCATCTCGCCCGCCAGTGCCCAGATCTCGTCTCGCGGTGCCTCGTCCATGGCGCGCCGCAGCGTCTCGTACAGTGCCTCGGGTGTGTCGTCGTTGTTCCACGAGTTGGGCACGCGCGGCCAGAGATAGTCGCGTCCGGCCGGGTCGCGGTCCCAGCTGAGTACCAGGCGAGTGTCAGCGGCCCACAGATCGGAGAGCAGCACGTGGTGGGGTGCCTCAGCGGGCCGCGGCGCCAGCCACCGCTCCAGGCGGGGCACCACCAGCGACAGCAACTCCTCGTACGCCTCCGGGTGGCTGTCGAACGAGCCCTCGAACCCACCGATCTCGTAGATGACGATCTCAGTGGAGGCCTCCATCATCGCGACGAGGTCGTCGATGGCGATGTGGAAGGGTCGGAAGGGAACCAGGCCGTGGCTCACCCAGAACCTCTCGGCGGTCGTCGGTGCGAACAGCACCCGCACGTCGAAATACCGAGCGCCCAGGTAGAACTGAGACAGCAGCGTCTCCTCCTGCGCGGAGGCGTACCTCTGCAGGAGATCATCATCCGAGCTCTCTCCTCTGTAGTTGGTGTAGGAGGCCGCATCGTGCGTGCCGGGCAGCATCACCTCGTGCAGGTGGAAGTCCTGGATGTCGGCCGCCATCTGGGACATCCAGTCGGGTCGGCTGGAGAGGCAGCTGGAGGCGATGCTGGCGCCGTCGCGGCGGTACTCGGTGCAGTAGCCGAGACATGTCGACACGGCCGGAGTGCCCGAGAAGTTGAACGTGGGCAGCGTGACGTCCGTGACGAAGAAGTGGTCCGAGTGATCGGCGGCGGTGACGGTGACCACCGGGTCAGAGGCCGGATCCGGGGTACACGAGTCGTACAGCAGCACCTGGCGGGAAGACGCAGATACCGTGATGCCATAGTATAGTATTGAGTTTGATATGCACACTTACAACAGAAAAAAATGTTTCGCAGTGACCACTATAGCCGCAATTTCGAACTATTTCGACCATCTGAGGCGACTTATTTATATGACTTTTTCAGACGCAGACCTGCTGTAGACTGGAGTAGGCGTAAGACTTCCGTATATGAAGTCACTAATCTGAATCGATGACCGGCATGAGCTGTCTCTGGGATGACGTCACCCGCCTCACCTGATCGTCGGGCTGCACCTGAGCGGTGTGCCAGACCAGTTCCAACCGGCGCCATATGGCAGCACCGCTGTCGTCTACAAGACCGACCGAATTGATGACGATGAACACATCGGTGACGTCATCGCCCGGACAGGCTGTGGAGCGGTTGCCGGTTATGGTCGTGAGGTATGACGTCATTAGTGTGGGCGAAACTGGGCGCGGCGTGGGAGTTATACAGCTGGCGGTAACACAAAAGGCGAAACATACTTTATGTCATTGATTTCTGTTCGTTTGTGATGTTTCACGTTTTGCATCTGTGTTCTTGACGAGCTTTTTATTCGAACTGAATACGAAGGTTTTAGACACTTAAAATTCGGCTAGTTGAATAATGCTTTTTGAAGAAAGCAGGTTTTATATATGGAACGCTTGCTTTTTTCAATCGGTATCAAAGTGAAACGCACTTGTTGACTCGTATGTCACGCTGTCAATCATTGCCTAAACCAAAATATTTTTAGTCAGTGTCTTCCTATTCTTAGGTGTTGTTTTTATCCGCTGGGACTGAGAGCGTGAGATGATGTTCCCATCTACGCTGGAGTACGAAAAACATCATCTCACAGTGTCTTCCTAGTTTACCTACATGTTTAGTTTACCTACCTACATGCATACGATGGTAACGCGACACGCATACCTTTGCAAATCACTTACGAGGCTGACTGACACTTTGGAGTCTAGGACGAGGTCTTGCCGATCGCTGACGTGCTGTGACGTCATGGCCAATAGCCATACCCCCAATCAGCAGCAGCAGCAGCGACCACACAGGTGTCATGGCGGCGACCTGTAAAATGAAAATAAAACGTAGCAAAAGCATAATTAGGCCCCATACGTGTTTCTTTTGCTAAATTTTTTTGTTTATTTTGTTTAAAATAATTGTTCGAGAAATTCAAAGATTTAGAACTCTTCGAGCTGCTTCAAAGTCGTATGGTATCCAGTATTGAATCCCGGTTGAAGAAAAATCATTGTCCTATTTATCATCACATATTGACATAATTACTCATCGCTCAGCGCTCATCACCAGAGACGGGCATGGCAATAGACGAGGTGATAAGTTACCTGCAGGTGGTCGTTGAAAAAACGGGTGTCTCCTGATAGTCAGATTGGCACGTGCTCAATTGTCTCCCCAATTTTCCCTGTCTCATCAAGTAATGATGATGCTATCAGGTCTACCGGGAATAATGTCTTTGAGCTTTTGAATACATTTATACAAATGCTTTGAAATATCACGCGCTGGAGTGGTCTTAGCTTGGTGTTTGTCCTGAAGAAACACAAGAGATTTTAGCCTACACAAAGCACGAGGACAATAATACAGCTATCCTCAGTATCATCAAGGATTATTGTATGGTGTGCATGCTCCAGTTACGGGATAAAATAAAAATGTTTGAAGGAACCAGTTATCTACAACAATAAGACAATTTACGAACGACTGTATGCCTTTTTATCTAAGAAATAGCCGGATTGATTGTACTTACCAGCCTATACATCGGAAATAAACGTACATTTAAAGAGAAGTTAAGAACCTAACCCATATTAAACATATCCTGATTGAAAGACGGTCTATGCAAATGGGTTTGTAACAAAACGTTAACCGTGATTCGATTTCCCTTGCTGTCAGACTGATGTTCGATTCACCCGTGATTGAATCGATTGGATTGAATCAATTAAAATTTGTTAGGTCGAAAAGGCTTGATTGGCCATCAGAATTGTTCGATTCACAAGCCATGATTGAATCGAACGCATTGGCAATCAGGGTCACCGGTTAATACTTAATTGAATGAAAAATTAACGTTTCATGAACTAAAAAAAAAACCTGAAGTGAACATAGTTCATTATCAACAATGCACGTGTGCAATGCAACAATGGAGCTGTTCAGATGTAAAAATGCATTATGTAAAAAAAATAATAGCCAAAATATTGATTTGACTCTTTACAAATCGAATCCAGAAAAGAATTGTTCAAAAATGTTTTAGCTGAATCAAAGGTGAATCGTTCCTTTTTTGTTTTTTATTCTCTGAATCGAAAGGAATCAATTCACCAATTTTTTTTTTGAAGGAATGGAACGATGATTGAATCGAAAATAAATCAAATAATACAATGATTGAATCGATACAAAAAGATGAATCAATCAATACCCAGTCTGCTTTTAGCATTTCCATGTTTCTCTCCCCCAGCGTTCCAAAAAGTTGTTCACTGGATTAGTGCATCTCACCTGTAGCCGACGTCTGATGTAAGTGGGACCTCCGTAGTCTATGCGAAGTGACCAGCCTCTTCCGTCGACAAGACAGTGGTCGTGTGAGTGACACAGGTGAACGCATACCACGCCATAGCAGCTGGCAGTGTTCACAGTTCACTATCAGATATGATTTGTTTGGTGAGGCGAGCGCCACAAAAGTATAGCGGTAGGCTATCACGGATAGCACTGAAACGGTAATCGGTCATTGCTATTCACTGCCAACTTTTGTTCGCGAGCAGCACATAGCTAAATCGATAAGATGCACCGTCTAGATATGTTTCACTTTATGGCGATGCGCCGCAATACCTCCTCTGGTAGACTGCACCGCAATATCTCCTCTGGTAGACCGCACCGCAATACCTCATCTGGTAGACTGCACCGCAATACCTCCCATAGGCGCGGGAACTACTTTCAGACTGGGGGGGGGGGGCACACTATAATGGAGATGAACCTAGGGTACCCCCAAATCTAGTTTTCTCACCGGTTTTAGGCCACTTATTTTTCATCCCTTGGCTTTTTCAACAAAAAAGAAAAACATTTGCAAAAAAAGTGCTGTATTTCGTCTCAAAGTTGTGGGGGCACCGCCCCCACGGCCCTAGAGTTGGGGGGCAAGCTGCCCCCACTGCCCCCCCCGGCTCCCGCGCCTATGATACCTCCTCTGGTAGACTGCACCGCAATACCTCCTCTGGTAGACTGCACTACAATACTTCCTATCTGGTAGACCGCACTACAATGCTTTTTATGTGGCAGACTTCACCGCAATACTTTACATAGTGATGTGTTGCAGACCGCACCACAATACTTCTAAGTTCTAACTTCTCTGTTATAGACTGCACCGCAATACGTTCTCTGTGGCAGTGCATATTGCATATTTCTTCCACGACATTGCACCGTGCGCGCATTCCTAATAGGCAATTTTCTTACCCATTATAGAATGAAATGTAAAAAGCACTGCAACCCCTCTCTCAACTCAAGCCCAAACTGAGCGACTGACCATCCCGCTGCAGTTCTGTCTGAGGATGACGTCACAAACCTTTGTACAGCAGCATCCGTAGGATGCAGTGTGGGTGGGTTCCCACACCCACCAGACCCATAAAACTCGCTTTGTGGCCCGATAACTCAGTGACATTTCAGTCATATTGTCTGGCGTATAGATTTACTGATAAGCCTTGTAATGCACTCTACGACTGACTAAAGGGTTTTACTGGTTTTGAATTTCATTTTATTTCCAGTGTAACTATCAGCCATAACACTTTCAGCATTCGATCAGATATTACTTGCTAGTTGCTGGTGCCAGCATGCGTTTCAGAGGCGTTTGCTGGTAAGACTTGTTTGAAGACGAAAACGATGCTTGACCGGAGCGGAGAGGACACAAATTGCAGCTATAAAATGAGTAAACATTTTTGCTAAATGTCATTGAACATCTTCTAAGGCTTTTTACCAAGGCTGTAGGGAAAAATGTATTTATAAGCCATTTATGTAAATAAGCTATCTTTAAAAAGGTTCGGCCCACCGGCCATCGTTTACCTGACGTCAGTGAATGCCGTTTCATTTTATCTCTGCTGTTCGCTGTCACTTGCTCCATTTGCAGTAGCTGTTGCCACCCTGCTCTCAGCCTGGTTTGACCGGGGTGCGACCTTCTTGTGCAGCAGGTGGCACCAAGTGCTTCCACTGAGAGGGTGAGGGCGAGACAGACGAGGGCCAGCACAGGTGCGGCGGCCGTACCTCTTCCAGTGCTCACATTTGTCACCGGCTACAGCGGCCGGGGGCGGGACTGCCACAGGGTCGTATACGGCACTGCGGCATATACGGCGCCACTGCGCCGTTCCGTGGCGCAGCACGCTGATATCTGCCCGGCGGGAGGCAGCGGCGCGGCGGCCGTGCAGATGGTGCTGGGCGGAGACGAATCGGTTCCGGCACGCCACTCGGCAACAGACAGGGTAGCAGCCGAGCAGGCTACGTGCAGTCATGGCGCGGTCATTCACTGCGGTGTGGTGTAAGGACCGGCGGGTGATGCTACCTTATCCTCTGTATGTGACTCTATTGTTTGCGTACACAATTTTGCAATGGCTGTACTTCCTACTGAAATGAAGCATTGGTGTTTATGATCGCCCAAAACTGAATCATCACATTTCACAAATACGCATGACTATTGCCTTATTCCCATTGCAACCGGATTGAACATATTCTGCTCTTTTTGATTAAATTGAGTCACTCTTACTACAGAAAAACCTTAGCATCGAATGCATCGTGTTTGTGTAGCTCTCCACATAGCGTTTGGTCAGCCAATGGTGCCCAATTAGGCAATCGAGCCACGTTAACCACGAGCCCACTGTAATCGAGTGCAGTCGCTACCCACGGCCGATGACCTCAGTGCAGCTAACAGGGCGTGGCACGGCGTTGGTATGCATGCACTGCAGAGCAATGAGAACCAGATGATGCCGAAGATAATCAGCTGTATGAGATTGTAGGAGGGTGTAACAAGCTCACGGTACATTTATAAAAATGGGAGAGCCGAGAGTCAGGCATAGGATGTGCAGCAAGTTTCAAACATTCCTCGTTGTCTCTTGCCTGTAAGCACATTACTGTACAAAGTGTAGGGTAGACCGGGGCAAGTCGCCCCGCCGAGGTAAAACGCCTCACCGATGTTTCTCGGAACTGGGAAGGTTCTGGAGAAACATCATCTCTTCTATAAAACGTGCACTATATGATCATTATATGAGCAGACTGGAAAGAAATTGTGATGGCTCTTTAGGGAGATATAGCCAAAAATGTGTTTTTGGAGTGATTTTTATGTTTTGTTGTCAGCTTATGCATCATGGCGTTCTTTTATGGTCCACATCAGGTAAACGACTTTTATGTATTTTGAACAACTTTATCTAACGCTTATAATGCCGGGTTGGTTCGTGTTAAATTATGCCTTGCTGGAGTGCAAGGCGTTGTTCTCTGACCGAACTACGTGATGGGGTAAAACGCCCCAGTAGGTCGCGGGGCAAAACGCCCCAAGGGGCGTTTTACCTCATGTGTTGTTCGGACTACCCACTACCTAATGTTCGGTAGCTGGCTAACAGTAAGTTTCTATGCATTTATATGTACTTTTCTCAGCAACCGGATGGCAAAGGAAGTATTTTGTTAACATTTCCATTGCAATAATTTATTATTTTGCCTTATGAGGCAGGTGAAAAACCTGCTCATACAATAGTGTCGTAGCTGAACACCTGATAGGATGGAAGGAGCTAACTTCAGTGCCGTGCTTCCCAAGGTCTAACAGACCTCTCATATAAGATTTAAGTCAACTAGCATGTTAAATCTTTAATCTAGAGTATGGGGCTTCTTGCCCCAGGCCGTGGGGCGTTTTGCCCTGGGGTTGGGGCAAAATGCCCCATTTGCAGTTGCTTCACAAATCACTTCCTAGCTAGGAGTCCGATCATAAGTGAATGAATTTTAGGGGTGGAATTTAAAGTTAAATGTCCAAAGAACGCATTGAGCACAAATTTGGCCTTCCAGGTGATGTGGGACAAAAGTTATGTAGCAAAATAAATTATCTGGGGCGTCTTGCCCCAGGCTACCCTACATACGTTACGGAAGAACTGTGATAAAATGTAGATAGGTACACAAAATCGCTATATGCACCTGTATTCGTTTGGGAAAACAGAAAGCATATTCAGAATTCAGAAAGCAGATTTGGAAATTCATTTAACTAATGCAAAGCAAGTTAATAAAGCGATAAAAAGATATTTTAGCTTCTTTTCTGCGGGTTCAGATAAATACGTCTATATGAAGGCAAAAAGTAAGCATATGTTTCTCTTTTTACAAAGTAGTTCTTGCCTATCATTTAGTGAAAAGCCCGAAAAGAACCAAGACAAGGAATAAGTATATGTTTTGTTATGATATCTAGCATTCGAAAGTCTTCGATCCGATAAAACGGCAAAACGGCCCAATGGTTTAGTTGACCCACCTAACAACAACCCAGAAGTAAATGAACTTGTCATCCTCGCTGGCAGCGCCGATTGTTTGTTAGTTGAATTTGTAGACGGCGCTTACTCACAGTCTCATCCATGACGTATTCCTTGAATCAAGTACCACTCTCTCTGGCGCCAGTTTTATGTAGAAACAGTCACTTTAGTTTGTAGTGGTTGGCAGTCGGTGGAACCCCGCGACTCTGACTCAGCCTCTGAC